TTTATTTTTAGTGTTTACATTTTTTGTACAAATACAACAAAAAACATATGCCAAAAATATGCATTTAATATATTTTAAAAATGATGCCAATTTGTGTCAACTAGACTTAATGCTGTTTTTTTACAACTTTAACAGAAAAAAATGCGTCTATAATCGCATTTTAATCCACCAATATGCAGCGAAGCATGCCATTTTTCATATAAAACCCATACTAACTCCATTCAAAATCCATACAAAAATGTGCCAATCAGATTCGATACTTTTAAGTGTAAATAAGAGTACTGCAGCTAATGACATTATTCTAAGAAATGCAAGTAAATTATTAAAAGCAAATGCATTTTCGAAATAAAACTTTCAATAAACTTTCTAAGAATAATAGTCCATATATCAAATTTTTTACTACCGCCAAAGGCAGTGAAAAATCCTTCTGCCGACTCTCCCTACTTAGTCTTTATGTAATCATAAAAAAGGAATACCAAAAATGCATTAAGAAAAAAGAATTTTTGATGCTAATGATCAAACATTAAGTTATATACCAGATAGCAATAAAACCAGACCCAACTGCCTAAGAGGTATTAAAAAACAGTTTTTATTTTGAAAAATTGCCGTAAAAACAAAAGAAGAAGAAAATTGAAAAAAAAGGTGGCAATTAAAAACGCATGAACGCAGAAGCTTCCATGTTCAGCACTAATGGTGCGCACACTAGGAAAACGCAAGGGGAACACTGAAACCAAGGAAGAACCAACAACAACAAAACGGAGGAAATTAAGAAGACACAAACAGTTTAATGGCCACCAAATCAACAGCAAAATATGGCGGCATTTGTTGTTATTACGCATATGGAAAAAAAATGGAAAAGATGGAAAAAACTGGATTGCTGGTCAGATGCTTAAGTGGAGTTTTTATTAGTTCAGACGCAAATCGAGCATAAAATTTTTAATTAAATAAAGTTTTCGTAGGAAAGACAAGAGTTGGAAAAAGTGTAACAGTTGCTAGTAATTCTAGAGAACTCTAGAATCCAAGCCCGTAGCGCTTATGAAAACTATTTCCACATTTACTGTAACAAACCCTTGAATATCACATTTTTAATTATTTTAATCAAAAGTAGATTCACTTCCAACGAGTAATAGTGGACAGCCGAGTGTACACTCTACAGTGTACCTGATGGTGTGAAACGATATTTCATTTAATTAATTAAATTTACCGCAGCCTTTGATTTGTTCACCTCTCATTTAAATCAAATGGTTTTTATTTTTATTTTTTTTTGTTTTTTTTTATGATTACGTTATTTTTTATAATTGAAGAAAATTTGTCATTAAAGTATTTTTAAAGTACTATTTTTTTTTCTTCGAAATTATTTTTTTTTACTTGGGAATAAATAATTAAAAACAAACATTTAATTCCTACTAATTTAAACCGCCAAAGTAAACAAAGTGTGAAATTAATTAAAAACTCCATTTATTTTTCTACTGTTTTATCTACAATTTTTCACTTCGTGAGTTCATTTGAATCTTCAACTTAATTGAATTTGAGCTCAACTATCCAAATTATTAATTGTACTTAGCTTATTTCTTTTACCATGGAAATATATGGCACATAAATTATGTTACATATTGCTTAATATAATCTCAACTACCAGAAAATTGAATATTTCCTTCTAGGAAATAGATTATGTAATATAATTTAGTACTTCTCAAATAGATTAACCGCGTTTTGTCTTTTTGACTCATGCATTTTATTTTATAATACTTTGATTTTATTAAAACTAACAAGTGTAAACACTGTATATATATGTAAGAGATTTTGGATCACAGGTTTATGCCAATCCAATCGCATCATTCAACTCACACTTATCTTTTCATACAGGTCTATAAGTTTACTCCCAAGTCTTTCTAAACTCTTTCAAAGAGCTCTGCTTTTGAAGCTTAAACCATTTCTTGACAGTCAAAACATTATACCCACCCACCAGTTTGGTTTTAGGAAAAAACATGGAACAATAGAACAATTGAATCGTATAATGTACGAAATAAGACACGCATTTGACCTCAGAGAATATAGTTCCGCGGTAATTCTCGTCTCGACTTCACGACAAGATACGCTGTCTATTACATACTAACATCCACTCAGTTTTAGAATCGTATCTACAGAACAGTTGATTTAAAGTCAAATGTAAATCATTTACTACTACTAATTTGCCAATAGAAGCTGGCGTTCCAGGAAGTGTTCTTGACTCTATCTTATACGTACTTTATACATCTGATATTCCAATAAATAATTCAGTTGTCACCACAATGTACGGTAATTTTACGTCGTAACAAAAACGTTGTATTAGCTTCAAACCAACTTCAATCGCACTTATGGGTGAAAAAAGGGGTGTGGAAATGGTTGTCAAAATGGCGAATTAATATTAATGAACCAAAACGTAAACATGTAATTTTTACCTCAAATCGAAGTATATCTCTAACAATTTCACTAAATAATTTTTCACTACCACAAGCAGATAATATAACGTATTTAGATATTTAACTTAGATCGGCGGCTATCTTGGCGCAAGCATATTTAAGCCAATAAATAACTAATGTAGCTTCAAGTCTCTAAGTTGCATTGGCTAATTAATAACAGCACCTCACTGTGCCTAGAACATAAAGTACTTTTGTATAACAGCATCATAAAACCAACATGGACTTATGGTATCCACCTGTGGTACCACAATGGGCCATTATTTGAGCTCAAGTGAGCTTTTTGGAAACAAGGCCGTCATTTCAACCCATCTACCTATGGTACCCAGCTATGTGATAATGCTAGTGCTTCAAATATTGACATTATCCAAAGAGCTCAGTTAAAGATACAGACAACAATCACTGGTGCCCCATAGTATATCAGAAATGAAAGCACTGTAGACCGAATAGTATAAGCATACCATTCGTATATGAAATCTGCAAACAAGCATTAACATAGAATCCTCAAGGAAGCAGAAGACCTGGTAGGCCCAAGCAAACGTAGAAGCAAACACTAGAGAAAAAAATTTAAGCAAGCGGAAAAACCTTTGGAGAAATTAGAACCCTGGTAAAAAATCGTGACAGTTGGAAAAAGTTCGTTATGTCCCACTGTTCCCCTGGGAACGTACTGGAATAAATAATAATAATAATAATTCGTATATGTACATCATCACTGATTGATTTGTACATACTTGTTTTTCCCACCGTACTATGAAGCTTGTTCCTCAGTATCATACAATATCTCTAAAGCATTCTGATATTCGCTATCCCTGATTAGATCTTTCTCTATATTTAATATTTTCACTGTACCTGAGGTTGTTTTTCAACCTCAATGATACTCACTCTTAAATCCAATAAAATAATAATACATTTTTACTTGAATTGCATGGAATATTTTCGCGGATTTATAAACTTTCATTAATAATCAGGCAGAAGCATATGATGGCCTTTTACGATTTGGAGTGTAACACTTCATGTGCTTAACAGAAGAATCTGCCTGCTGTGAAAAGAATAAATGTCTTCATATAAATTTGAATCTTTTTTCTTGGTTAAAAATCCGAAATAATTACAAAGCACGAAATTTGGCACGAATATTTTTTAAAAAATATGGCCAACTTTACTGATTAATGTTTTTGATTTTATTTTTTCAGTTTCACGATGTTGTATACATAATACATAATTTTTTTATGTTTGTGAAGTTGTAGTGTTGTTCATCGGTTGGTGCAAAGAAATGCCTCAGGCAATCCTTGATGATTTTATTTAACGAGGAACAACACAATGTGGAACACGCAAACGTCACCATTTTGAAAGAAGCAATTTCGAAATACAAATTGCATGCAAAAAAGTTAAACGCTGGAGGCATGAAAAGGCAACGATAATCATGATCATCAGTGCAACGGGCAGGAATCCAATAAAACGCGCACATAGAAAAAATTATTGGAACGTCAGCCGGGGAGTTAATATTTCAGAACACTTTGCATCTATAAAGTTGTTTATGAGTTTGTTGATTGTATGAGAAGTGTGCGGACAAAAAACGTAATTAAGATTACATCTTTGAAAATATTTAAAAGGTTTTAATCACATGGAACAGTCAACTTATGGGTTAAGTAAAACAGAAAATTCTATTGGAATACTTATAGATTTGCTACAAATAAATATATTGTTTTTTGGGAGATAAAAACTACATACATATACTCATGTATATGTATAACCCCTGACAAAAGCACTAATGAACCATAGTGCTCCGATCAAGACTAAGAATGAAAAATGGGCCAAGACTAGTGTGGACAAAGTAAACCTGTTTGCTGAACATTTACAAGAAACATTTACTCCAAACGAAGGAGTCAGCGTAATGACTCTCAATACAGATTGGTTAGAAAGGGGAATGACTATAAGTCCCATTATTCCCATATAACTCCCGTTACATTCATACGTACTCTTCCATATTCAACAACGTATACGTGCTTTCAACCTCATCTATGTAGAAAATACATCAAATGTTATTCTAGTTTTTAAGTTTAAAATCAAGGCATTTCAAAATTAAGCATTTAACAGCTTCTTGATTGAATTAACTCCTGACATAGTGTTTCGATCAAGACCCAGAATGAAAAATGGGCCAAGACTAGTGTAGACAAAGTAAACCTGTTTGCTGAACAATTAAAAGAAACATTAACTTCAAATGAAGAGGACAGCGAAATGACTCTTAATACAGATTGGTTAAAAAGAGGAATGACTATAAGTCCCATTACTACTAAAGAAGTGGTAAGTCAAATACAAAAAGTAACTTTAAAAAAATCGCCGGGTTTTAATCTCATAACAACAAAAGTTTTACGGGAATTAATCAAGTCTAGCATTAAACGTTTAAACGTTTATATTTAATAAATATATGTTTTAAA